TCCGTTCTTACGTGTGTGCAATTGGAACAGAGGTGATCACGGGCAGACCGAGGTGACGTAAAAAAAGAGCTTCATAGCTCATCGGATTCACCAGTCTAAATAAAGATCCTGAGATCATCGGCATCATCAGCCACATCACGTGGTTGCTCCGGGGGCTTCTTGCCTTCAGGAGGCAGAATGTCGGGGTGGCCACTTTTATTGAACACCTTGAGTGATCGAATACAAACCGAGTACCGTGCTTGATTATTATTTTTAGCAAATTCATTTACTAATTGTCCCAACTATAAATATACTACCTCCACAAATTTGATTCATGTAACATATCCTAGACGTGCACAAAATTAACACTGTTTATACAGTATTCTCCCGTTGCATCATTACGTTGGGAGCATGGAAATTGTCATTTCCCAATGGGCAACAACAGAACATGCGTGGAAAAATAAACAACGGTCATCTCAAATGCACACTTTGCATTGACAGGGATATATAGAGGCAGAGAGACGCTATGAACCCAGTGACCAGAGTTAAATTCCCAGTCACAGCTGACATCGGTGACGAGTGACATCTGAATCGGTTATGGGCAACCCCCAACCCTCACCACCATCCCACACACTGAAGCAGCAAGGTGAAATAGATTGTCAAACAACCCCCGTGACCGACAGGGTGCATACACCCTGTAAACTATTTTATATTAACATTGTTACTGTGAAAACAGGGAGCATAATAGTATTACAAGTGCAATAGCACGTGTCATACACTCGGTTTCAACACGGACAGTAGAAAGCATGGACTATTAAATAAAACTGTAGTTTGTAGATAGCGCGTCTTTAATAACCTAAAAACGGTAATAGTATAATGCAGCCATGCAATTGCTTGCTTACTCCATTCATTATGGAAGGGCCTCCATTATAGGGTATTTGGCCTACTCTTCCACACTGCGCCAAACGACTTTTGAAGAGGTGTGGATGCCCACACTTTACCCCACAACACACGATTTGCCGATTGACTAACTGTGGTGTACTGTGAGTTAGACTAGGTGGGCAGAGGTGGATTTAAGAAACATGCCCCTTTTAACTGCTGCACCAGGAGACACTCGCCGCTGTGGTTTCGTGGTTAGTACAACTGAATTGCAATCCAGAGATCCGCAAAAAACACCTATACGTTCCATGAAATCAAGGAGGGCAACTCCGTATGAGTCGAGGTGCATGTATCCAAAGGTACTTAATGAGTGGCCATTTGCTCAAAGTTATATTTAAATGCATGACATGCCTCGCATGTATCCATTGCCTTTTCAGCATGTACTCATCAGTACAGTGCTGTGCACACATTTAATCGCAATGACAAAATTTTACAAGTGGCAATGATGAAGAAGTCTTAACACTGATATAAAAAAAAATTGTTCCCTTCTTGAAATAAGATAGAAACCAGTGTGACAATTGATGAACACTTTGGGCAATGAACATCATTGTGTGAGCAGCTTGGCCTGAGCTGTATCGGCCCTAGCTCATGCTTCCTCTGGTGGCTTGCTGGTTATGAATATCGTGTTTCCCAGCAGTGCAAAATAACACTTCCCAACAGACTAAAAGCCCCCTTTATAAGTAATTATGTCTGGCCCACCTAGCCGATCACTAATTCAGCTCTCTTAGTTAACGAAGTGTCAATTAATGACTCTTTTTTTTTCCAGCAGTGACTTGGTAATTTTGCTTGTTGTGTTTATTCTGACATTGTCAGGGATGTTATGCAAGGCAATTCAGTTCACTTATGTGCCAGGAAATTAAATCATTGATGTCATGGGTGGATTGAGGAAGTGGCTTTAAACACCTATGCCACACACAATACATGCAACAGATTGATTTATTTATTTGTCAAACTTAACATTTTCAGAGGTAATAACCAGGCATAACACAATTCATAGATTAACTAGAGGTGTTACGATTCATGTCCGCAATGATGAGATGAATTGTCATGATTCGATAAAAGAATCGATTCTTTACATTTTGGTACATATAGACGGCCTCTAGCATGACGTGAACCCATTTCATACAACATGTATGTATCGAAAATTAGCCTTTTTCTTTACAATAAGGAATCTGCACGTATCATGAGCTTAATAAGAGATGTTTTTCAGAACCGATGCATCGTTCCGCCCCCTGTCGATTGTAATTGGTTATTGTGCTCTCCAATACGTGTTTTATAAATACGCACGAGATAAATCTGGTTTAAAAATCATGCAAATGTCTGAGCTTATTTTGCACCATATGTAGCCAGCTGTGCTAATCAGAGGTGCGGGGAGAAGGACAACATAAATTAAATGCGATGGTAAATGTAGGTTAATGGCTCAAACGAAACGACAAATGGGACCGTAAAAATATGAAACTAATCTAACAAAAAATTGTGACCATAAATCGTAGCTCTTGGAATCTCTGGGGATGTGAATCATTAAATTCTGAGTACTGTAGCTAAAGGTAATGCTGGTGGCATGCACTATTTATTACCCTGGGTAATGCAGCATTAGCCCGTCTTATTTTGCAGTGCCTTTCTCAATCACAGCATCAGGCGTGTAGCATTTACACAAACTATTACAGGAGGACGTCTCTTATCCGCGTTGATGTGGGGGAACAAATGTCCCAGGTCCTGTTGTCTGCGGCGTCACTCCACTTATCCACGGTAAATATCGCAGATTACTTACAGATTTCGATTTAAAGCTTTCGTGACTGCAGGGATTCATATTCTTGGTTCTTTCGGTAAAATTCTCCACGACGTTTCGATTGCAACACAAGCAATCACACCTGATGATGATTGCTTGTGTTGTAATCGAAACGTCGTGAGAATTGTATTGTTTTATTTTTATTATTTTATTATTGCCCTTCTACGTGACTTTACCAAAACAACCAAGAATATGAACTTACAGATTTTAAGATGTTTTGTCCTGTGACACGTTGTCCGTGATAAAGTTAAGGATTATTGGATGTGGATCCGCAAAGTTGGACGTCTACGTTCACTTGTAATCGCGGATAAATTGGAAGAATGGAACCGTGGAGAAGTGTTTTCTCAGACTGCAACTCCTACGGATGATAAGAGGAGTGTCGGGTAACAGGGTCATGGGCAAGAGGAGTTCTGTAATTACGTTTTGTGTGCACTTGCCTACATTCAAGCTAATATTAAGCGCACACATGACCGCATTAATGCTTGTAAGTCTTGGAAAAAAACACACACATTGCTTTTGTGAAAGTAATGTATTGTGTTTGTATTGTTGCAGAACAAGGGAAGAGCTGGCTACCAGTTCCTGTTTGTTTTGGAACCCCATACAATGGCCTATAGGTTTTATATAATGGGAAATGCAGCAGGGCAACCTGCTCACGCATGCATTGTTTACGATTTCGATTGTTTCTTGCTGTTTAGGCGACGACAAAGGCACACGGGCGCATGCCAGTAGCTCGAAAGAGAACAATGTAAAACACCCGGGCAGCTTTCAACAACACCGTCCTTGACAGCGTAAAACTCGTGGGGGGGTGATATTTTCCACTTGTACACGGGCCACCTAACAATATCCGTACCCTGTGTTCCCAGCAATGCCCACGTATGTTACACTTGATACATCACCATGGGAATTTCTCGGAAAAAATCTGTTAAATGTGCATCTCCTGCCAAAGTAGAGAGTGAGTGGAGAATATTGCGTCACCAGTCGACTGTGTACTTTCCGGCTGTGTGTTTGCAGAGATGCATATAAATAAATTGGGCAATTCATTCACGGCCCACCTTGTTATAATTGTGCAATTCGCGTGTCGCCAAATGCTATTTCTTGATGCGTTTCCGAAAACAGCAAGACTTTAATACACGTGAGATACAAAACGATTGTACTTGTGACATATTTTGTGTCGTGTTTTGAGTTTGTTGACACGTACAGCATTTGTCTTTTATTTGCATTTTGCAACTAAGTGACAACATGATGGGTAGTGCGGGGTCGTGCCGTCTCATTGATCTGGGTTTGATTCCGAGTCTGGCTTGCTGACAACTTGCCTCGATAACATAATCACTTGGCACGTTGAGTCTTGTGGGGAAATGAGAGCAGGCTGTGTTTTTCTACTTTTAGACTTTTCTAATCAAGTATCGATTCGAAATTCAATTATCATTCCTATAAAATGCCACCAAAAAACACCTCAACAATTTCCTACTCACGACAGTGCATTTTATACACACATACTGGACCAAGGTTGCACACCAAAATTCATATCCAGCACATAAAGTACAGTAGTACAACCATGTGGCTTTTTGTTTCGTGTAATATCTCACAGTTTGGCACGTGTGGTCCATACAGCCCCCATTTGTATTCCGCAGCGGCCCTGTAGTTCGTATACTTCGCTCCTAACCCGGTGACCCGAGTTCGATTGCTGGCCACGTTTAGCATTAGTGGCAAATCGTCTCAAAGTGTTGTTGTCCCGCCGCGATAGCTACTCGACCTTGCATGCGTATCCGCCGTGTCGTGTGAATATCAGCACTGGGGCGCACTGGTCACACCACACCCTCGTGCTCCACGGCGGTCTTCATTTGTGAATGCTAAGCGCTAACAGCAGCACGTGGCCCAGCAGATTGATGTTGGCCGTGACCAGGCATTGAACCCAGGTCGTGGGGTTCGGGGTTCAGAGCTCGCGTCACTAATTCAATGCGCTTTTCCCCCAGTATTTTCTATACTGTATACATCCACACGCACTGTATACACATTCTTGCTGTGTGGGTGCGAGTCGAGTTATAATAACAAAGTGACTCCACAGGGTGTTCTCTTGCTGAAAGGAGGCTACGTGCACCTACCGTGTTTATTTATTCAGAGTCGGGAGAGGAGACATCCTGGATGGAACTCTCTGCTGCAGAGCAATATGTGGGTGCCGCACATGAGAATTCTGACGGTGATTTATTCTCCTGTGAGAACGCCCGGTGCATTGTGACCATCGTGTTTGTGTTGCTGTGCCTCCCTCCCCCTCCTCCTCTCCCCTCACACACAGTATGGCCTGGTGGCAAAGTTGCTCAAATTGCCTGGTTCCAGGGCCTCGGTGGTGTTCCTGACGCCCCTCACCCACCGACTAAGATCCCGGGTGGGCGAGGGAATGGGGCAAGGGATCAGCCCATCTCTTACCGCGTCCTCCATTCGGTACAGTATTGTCTTCTTCATTCACTGTGTATGTCTGTATGTTGAACTTCCTTCACACCGTGCGTAGCCAACCGTGCTGATCGGAGGTGGACCACAAATGAGCGGTAACTGTTCAACCCAGCTTTGTAGCCGAGTCCTCAAATCGTTAATTGTCTCTCTCGTTAACCTCATGGTTAAACACTATTCTTTACCCTCTTTGTCCCTACCGCTGTCCTCCAATCTGTAATTGTCTTTTTCAATGAGCAAACATGTAATTACCGTAAATAGACGAACGCTAGGAACAATGGCGGAGCCAGGATTTTCAGGTAGGGGGGGAAACCCCTCCAGCAATGAAAAATGATAGAGGAGTTGTTAGTAAGTAAGGACTTGTCCTTTGCTTTTTATTCGACGCGTGTGCGGCGATGGCACAGCCATCGACCGAGGGTCGAATTCGAACCGCGTTGTGTGATCGGCATCGCGCTCGCTGAAGGTGAATGCCTTCAGGGAAGTCGTGTGCTGTATACGCAACTGCGCACAATTCTGCGAGTCGCTTATAACTGCTTTGCCGTTACTTATTGCCAATTATGGACTCAGACTATTGTCCTATCATTTCATAGAGTCACTGGCACATTAATATGCTACACAGTGGCAGTGGGGGTCGCAAAATGCCGATTTATTACTAATAAACCCCAAAAATACGTCTCCTAAATTGACTTCTGAATATTAAATAATGTGTTTCCAAAGAATCTGAATGGAAGTATTTATGTGGTCAGGATTAGAAAAAAACACCTTTCACTAAATACAGATTGCTCGCATTGTTTGGTTGTCAGTTGTCCGTGATTTATTTGAAGAACACAAATCAGAGGCTATTCGTACTCAAGCAAAATAAGTGGGCTTAGGCAGGATGTGTCGCTGGAAGAGTTGAGGGCCGATGGATGGGATTGGGGAGGGATCGCGCCCGAGAGAACGACCACCAAGGACAATGAACCGATAAGATTAGCTTGTGGATGCTGGCATCACGGCACCATGGAGAGTAGCGGTGACATGGAGGAGGTCTTCATCCAACCGTGGATAGAACCAAGCTACTGATGATGGTAGTTGCAGAAAAGTAGAATATTTATCTTTGGTATGCGACCATATATGGGCACCGCGTTGGTAAGAGTAAGTGCTGCGGTTGCGAGATGTTAACTCCCTCGCCTGGTATACAGGAGGTTGTGGGTTCGATCCCGACCCTGACGCCTGCTGTATATTTGGAGTTTGCATGTTCTCCTCGTGGTCAGGTGGATATTTATCTGGGTCCAATTTTTCCCCTCAACATTTAGAAAAAAATGCTTTTTAGACTTTGGCTGGTATAAATAAGCCAGCTTACCATTTGTGGCTAGGTAGCTTCTGAAAAATAACTTTCTAGCTCGGTGGGCCTTACCTGCTAAAATAAAACATAGTTTAGCAAAAATGTATGTTTGTATCCCTTATCACAGGACACTCGGCTGTGCGTGAGTGAGGAGGAGCTTGGCCCTGGGCAGCCCTCTCTCATACACTTTGAGTGTCGGCTCTCTGAAGCAAAGCTGGAGCAATGGGATGCCATGAGCAGAAACAACAACTTGTTTCTTGAGGCTCCACGGGGGAATTTCTCTGACTGCAGCAAAGTCAGGTGAGGTTACAGCTGTGCACGCGCGTCATTGCTCGCCGTTGCACCACATGTTGTGTTCGACCGTGACGTCTGACGTTTCGCTCGGTGTGCTAAGAGGTGGTTCCCGAAGAAGCTCCCAGTTGATGCTCAGTGGGAGGAGCTTCCTGAAAAAGCTCCCGGTACAACGATCAAAACGTCAGACATCGTGCCAAACTACAACAACAGCAGCTGCCATTCGCTACTAAATGGCGGTGACGTCACCATGGCACCCGTGCCAGGCCAGGTGCACTTTGAGGCCAAATCTCGTACCGAACAACAAGCAGTATCACCCGCAATCACATGGGACAGCTATAAAGCCAATACCTTGAAAACCCATGTGATGGTATGACAGTGTTTGTGAGAGAGACTCCATATTTAAATGCAGTTTCTTATATTTAACTGCAACAAATTGCAGGCACAGTCGTTCGAGCACCGAGCTGTTAACCCGGCGACCTGAGTTTGATTCTCGGCCATAGCTAACGTCAGGGGTGATTGATATCTGAACCGGTCCTGGGCGCCACATTCTCTTCACCAACCGGCACTAACCAGCACGGTGAGGTATGGTCAAACGGGTTGATTACCATCTCAAGTGATAACCCATCTGGCAAACGGGAGAAGGCGGCGAGGAGTGGTGGCATCAATGGCCTTGCTTTGATGACATCTTCATCTTGATAACCCATCGTGAGTTATGCAGCTTTGTGAGAAAATACTTCATTGTAGCCTCATAGGGGTCGTGTTTTTTCTTGTTTTAGATAATGTCTGTGCAGGTAACTTTCAAACTTGATATTTGGTTCATGATACTGGCCCATCAATGGCCTACTTTTGCATAAGATGTCGTGGGAATTTTTTTACATCCGCTTACAGCGAACGGGGGGCGTGTGTTTTGTAATTGGTGGTAGAAATTACGGGTAACGACTGTGGAAATTCGACTTTGTAAATTGGCCCATTGGCAAGACCCATGACTGCTGCTTGTGTAACACTGCACCTTTATCCGTTTTTTTGCTGAAATGTTCAGTTGTGTACGTTAAGGTGGGTGAATGTATGACAGATTTGGGCTGTTAATGTGTTTTTAATTTGGTGTGATTTGCCAACCACAAAAGCCTGAGGCTAGACTCAGCTGTGTTGTTGCTTTGAGGACAATCATTTAAGCAACTTGGTAATATTGAGGTGTTGGCTCTGGTTATGAGCCAAATGTTAATGATGTAATGCTTAATGCAAGGCCTGTGTTTGGACTGCATATTTTAAAGGACTGAATATGATTAAAATTGATGACATTTCTGTTGCATTCTGGTATATATTGTGGAACCTGTTGTGTAAAAAAGTTGTGTGCTAGTAGTCATATTTAAAAGTCTAATTTGTGACTTTTTTCCTTTCCAGCTTGACCTTGCTGCTGGAGTTTGCAGAAGAGAAGTTGCTAGTTGATAATGTAATTGTTTGCTTCCGCAAGGAACGGTCGGACAGAGGTATTTTCCCTATGTTCAACACTTTCACTTGCTTAAATACAATGTTTCAATCATCATACTAATTACTTCATTGTTGTTAACATTACTCCGGAGGTGGCCGGGTGGCTCAGAAGTCGGGGTGCTGAGCTGGTGGTACTGCCCAAGTTTTTGAATTTTAATCTGAGCACCTGCCTGTGACTCAACTGGCTTCACCAGGTCACTCACAACTGGACAAAAATACCATAATTTTTGGCTGAATTCCAGCTCTCAGAATGAAAATGATACACAGGTTTGGCTTTCGTCACCACAAAGATTTGCATAGCAGAGCTTGTGGGGAAGTGCGCCTCCTACTTTATAAAGTATTTCCAAACGTTGCTTAAAACATCTCCTTTGGGGAGAGCATTATCTGACATGCGGGACACACACAACGCTCTTGACATTTTTCGAATTAATATTTTTTCTCATGGCATGCCAACACAATTCTTTTACAATAATATTGTGTTCCCTCCTGTCTCCCTCTCCGCCTCCTCTGGAGCAGCGTGCCTCCTCCGGGTGTTTAGATACCTCGGCTTCGAACTCCTGGCACCAGGCCATCCGATGGTGCCTCAGCGTCCAGATGTGGTCTTCATGGCCTACCCGTTCGACAGGGACTCGGGTGGAGAAGAGTAGTCGCCCAGAGCATCCATCGATGAGCACACAGTCCCCTTGCAGTAGAGAAACATTTACGTGTCGTTCTCAGATAAAATTCAGAATCGCAAAGGCCCTCTATATCCTTACTGTCTCTAAATGCTACCACATGTAAAACAAGTCTTCCTCTTGATGTACTGAATGTTCTGCCAGACTGCCTGTTTTAAAATTGCAACTAGGTCTGTGTGAAATCTAAAGAAAAATGATGATAAATTACAATTGTAATAACAAAAATAAATTCTATAATCACATTTAATCTGCTTTTATTGTTTCTTGAGGGAGGTTATAATAACAGCAAAGTACATTTCTGGTGGGGGGTGGGGGGGCAGGTTTTGGACATTTTTAATGTTTTTCTGAATGTATATTGGATTTATTTGAAGTGAAGGGGCTTGGTATACAGCCAATTTGATACTTATAGTTTTGCACATGATCTCACTGTAGTATGTTGCTTCTGCCTGTGCAATAGCATTTAGTTGTTTGGGAACCTTACATCTTTTAAGTTGCATGTTTACAATAGTGTCTAACATGGTTTTAGTTGTAAAGGAAAAAAAAAATCATTCCTGTGGCCGTCAAGTCATATAAAATTGTTTCACTCGCAGCATTCCTTGTTTATTGCACACATTAGGGTCACGTTTGTATTATATCGGATTATAAAGCAAGTTGAGCAATTCCCCTTGTGCCTGGTCTCATTCTTAGTCGTCCCCACCACTGGGGGAGACGTCCCCGCAGCGCCGCGGTGACGCGGGTTTGCAGCTGTGCCCGTCCACATCGATTGCTTGATGATCAACTTCTTACAAGGTGCAACATTGTGTTCGTGCTGCTTCACTGAGATATACACGCAGAAAGATATTTTAGAAAATAATAAAAAAACTATCTTTTATTTTTCTTGCTGACGTCTCATTCAGTCTTGTTATTCTATTCATAGACTTCCTGCAAGCACTTGATGTATCACCATTTTGTTGCCGTGACATCCATGGGCTCTGATTTTTTTTTTTACCGTGAGCGCCAATGTGCTCTTGTGCCTGGGTGCAGCATGCTGATGTATCATTGAGAGGGTGCTACGCACCGTTTGCCCGCCCCCCCACAGTCTGCTCTTCATGCTTTTTCATTGAACGTGCTACCTGACAGGAATATTTGTCAGTGAGTGACACCTGCCATTTGTTGCATTGCCATTACAAACATGGCACTGTGAACGGTAGGCACTGCTCGTGCCAAACCTCAGCCCATTGTCAATTGACACCCGGATTACAGGGCTCCCTATGTTCTGTTAGTCAAGGGGGTTTTGTTGACCATACTTCATGATGGTCCGTGCGGGTTTGTTGAAGTGTTAGGAGGCCGAGGGACCAGTGCCTATGTCACTCGTCACGTTAATTTGAGTTGTGGTAGGGAATCAAATCCAGGCTGCCGAATGCACAGCACAGTCTCGAGATCACTGTGCCGCCAGCTCTCCACCCACTCGTACTTCTTGAAAAATGACAAGTACCACTCATTGTTATTAATAGATATGAAAAAATTCGATCTGTAAAAAAACATTAAGATAGTCCTGGGGCAAAGTGTAAATTGGCACCATCTAAAGTTTCAAAAGACATGTACCAATACATTTAAAAGGCTAATATCAGTGAAGTATTTGATTTAAAACTGATTTCAAATGTTCGTAGCATAATGTGCTGTTGTTGGCTACTAAAAGAAATAAGAAGGGGAGGTTTGACTTCTCAGGTGCTACTAACAAGTAAACTATCTGGTCTGGGCTCAAGGACTAAAATTGGGAGGCTTGGCTTTAAAAGCTCTGACCTGGGGATATATCCGTGTTCGCACAACACTAACACTCTCCGTTTGAGACTGATCACATGAATGTTGGGAATTGTAACCGTCAACTACTGTCGGTATTCATGAATTTGAACCATGCACCACTACGAACTACCAGAACCCATTGGAAACATTACATATTCCGAGGCTATATTTCAAACTCCCCCAAGACTGACTATAGCCAAGGCAACCTTTAATCATTCAGAGGGTACCTAGTGAAATTACCCTGGCTGGTTTATGTGGCTGCTTTGCTTGTATAACTTGCACTTGCCAATATCCTGATGTTACATCTGATAAGTGTGAAATAGGCCAACATACGAGACGAGAGTTTTCTCTAGTGGAGGACACTTCTGCCAGCGGTGGCGTGAGCACGCGACTGCACGGCCTCCACCTTGACCTTTAATTGCTTGTGATGAACGGGGGGAATTCGATCTCTTTCGCGATACCAACTGAACGCTTGCCAGGTCAACAAACTTTGCGAGCGTCATCGCTGCCCACGGCCAATTGGACCGTCGCCCCCGTGCCACCGCCAAAGTTAGAAGGGGCCCTGAACCCGCCTCTCCCCCCGTCTCCAAAAAAATACACACAAGCCGCGTGCCCGCCGCCGGGCCAGGTCTTAAAATAGTCGAGCGCATTCCCACCCTGCCGTGCACGTGACTGGCACATCGTATAGCAGTGCCACGGGTGCATTGATTTGCCCCCCCCCCCCCTCATCTGCAAAACCACACCGACTCCTTCCCCACCATGCTGTTCCCTCGACTGCATTAGGAGCATACTCTTTGTTTTTTTCGGTAAAGTCACGGAGGTAAAAAATAAAATAAATGAAATGAAATGAAAACAACAATTAAATCATGACGTTTCGAGCGCAACGCAAGCATCCTTCTTCACGTGGGGACAACGTAGCGAAAGCACAACCGCTTCAGTGTGTCCCACCTGAAGAAGGACGCTTGTGTTGCGCCCGAAACGTCGTGATTTAATTTAGTTTTCATTTATTTTATTTTTACCTACGTGACTTTACCGGAAAAAACCAAACAGTATGAATCCTTGCAGTCACGAAAGCTTCAAATCTAGAAATACATGCATTAGGAACAGTCTGCTTCGGTCCAATTTCGATCTCGGTCACCAACGGGAATTGAAATAATGGTGCAAGTTTCTTAAAAAATAAATTTACGCCCCCCTGTGCGTCCCACAATATAAATGGGTTACACCACGGTTAATCGGCAAGTCGCTTGTGGTGGAGTTAATTGTGGGAACCCTTCTAAAATGACAGGCCAGCGTGAAAGGGTTGGTCAACAATACTCCTGACAGGGTCTCTCTAGCACTACCTTCTGCGAATAGTGGCGTGAGCAAGTACGGTCAGGGCTCCAGCTCTATACCTCATTACCACCAAGTCAACCAACGTGGAGGCATAACGTAAATAAAGCCACACTGTACCGCCTCATCTCACGTTGCATATGTTGTACGGTTATTAGGTGCCACGGGATTATTTTGTCTCGGGTTAAATTTAAGTCCCACCCCATGCCCATCCATCAACAGAATCTCCATGAAGAAGAAAACGCACTTGTGACTTCCATTTTTCTAAGACCCGGCATATGTTAACTATATGTATTGCTAGTTAATGCCTAGTGAGCTAAAGCTCTTTTCTCAGAAGCGACCTCACCACAAATGATCGCTCAACGAAAGTGGCTTATCACGTGAACATTTATATCAGCCAAATACTACTTTAGTAGTGATATAGATCGGTCAAGATCACAAAAAAACGTACTGTATGCGGAAACTTCATTTTTACCTGGGTCCTGCCTTGGGTCACGGCTTAGACTGGAATGGCTGGATATTGCCCAATCTCTGTTGGCTGCATAATGTCACATTAGATATGTTTTGAATGAGAGAACTGCATTACACCAGAATATACCAGTTACGTCTGGGTCGGTATGCATAGGATAGTCACAACACCGGCAGGTAATGCTAAGGGTGGATTCACCCAGAGGTATGCTTGTGAAAAAAACACGTGGTAATTAAAGATGCGGCCATGCACTGCAGCATCATTCGACGCACCCTCATTGCTGGACTCGTTGTGTCTACCAGGATGAGTTGGTGGGTCGGCTTTTAACGCGTGTCCAAAAGCCGGTCAAAAAAATGCAAAAACAACTATTATGATAGTTTACTTGAAAGTGTAGGGAAAAACAGAATCGGAATATGTATTTATACTGGAAGAATCCGATGATCTTCGAAGCTCTTTTTCACAGACGTCCAGTAGAGGCGGATAAGAACGTTACAACAACAAAACAATACAAAAACATGATAGTAGTGCAAAGTGCAAGAAAGGTAAACAAATCACACAAACACACACAAATAAGTCACTGAGGTTTTAACCTATTTTTCAGAACCAACCTGGCCACAAATGATAGCTCAACAAAGTTGGTTATCATTTGGACATTTATAGCAGCAAAATAATCGAAACAATCTTAATGCGCGTTTCTAAATGTGGAGGGATAAACTGGAGCACCCAGACGAAAAAAAATGCACATGACCACAGGGAGAACTTGGAAACTCCAAATATACAGGCGTCGAGGTCGGGATCAAAATACCGACCTCCTGCATACATTTGTCGAAGCCTCGTTAAGAATTTATGTTTTTTTTCTGTCGTCCCGGGACGCTGCCGTGGTATAATTAGTAGCACACACACTCGTCATTCCGATTCCATATCCCAGCGTGGCAGCTCATAGAAACAGGCAAGTTTCTCAAATCCCCCCCCCCCGCCGCCTCTGTCCAATCAGCGGCGTTCACCAGTCCAGTGTTGTGGGGTAAAGTGTGAGTACTTCCACGTCTTTCAGCATGGAAGAATAGACCAAAAATGCAATTTGAGAGGCTTTATCCTGCCAGCGGTAGCATGAGCAGGTAACTGCACGGCTGCACCGTTTACCTTCATATCATCCGTAGATGACGGCCACACTGCGTCGAGCGCGAGGCTTGAATGGCCAAAAGTCAAAGGATCGCACTTGAAAGGAATTGAGTTGTATGCTTGTATCAAGGTATCAAGTGACCAGGCTTGTTGTAAAACAATGATAAGTGAATATCATTTTTTTACGGTGGGAAAGTGTGGATAGTATTTTTTTTAAAGAGTAAATAATGAAAACATAAAAAAAATGGGAGGGGGATATCCATGAATATAGCAGACAGTATTGAAAAATTACAAATAAGTAAACACAATAAGATGCAGCCTGGAGCATCCCACAGAGGTCAAAGCTATCGTGACCGTGCTGCCACGCGGTCTGAGCGTGGAGCTGAGCCCAAGACTAGCGAGGGAGTCCAAGCGCAGCCGGTTGGCTCCAAGGCCGATTATCTCCCAAACTACCCCCCTCCCATCCCCGGGACATACGGCAAACAGACACCAGAAATGGTATTATTTACAACAACAATCGAATTTTATCCCCTGGTCTGTGCACTTTTGTTATGAAACAACAAAAGTCAGCCACTGTCTCCCAGCTCAAAGTGTGCATGACAACAGCCGCTCGTATTAGTTGGTGGCCGTGAGCCAATGATGGAAGTTGCACATTCTTGTGGTGAAAGACCAGTTTTTTCCCCTCTCTCTCTCTCCATAGAATGACTCCTACAGTATTGAAATCCCAGCACGTGGGACGTACATTTTCATCGAGCACGAAATGGACGATGGGCTGCATCAAAACCTGAAGAGGGATTTGAACTCGGCAGCCTTGTGCTCGCGAGTTGAGCGGTCTACTTTTTTTTGTGTGTTTACACCAACTTCTTGGTTCTTTCGGTAAAGTCACGTATAAGGGAAATAATAAAATAATACAAATAAAGAAATCTCGCGACGTTTATTATTTTATTATTTCCCTTCTACG